ATGAGACGAGACAAATTCACACGGACTACAGAAATCCTGTGGAAAAAAAGGGACATCATGGCCACTCTCTGAGTGAGAGAGGGCCCCGACCCCTGCCTGGACAGGCTTTTATTTCTTCTCTGAGCACATTACATCGAGGATGGTCCTCATTTACTATGCACAGGTTCGCTTTAGGTGGTTACCTCTTACAGAAAGCAAAGGAAAGGATGTTGCTAATTACATCAAAAAAGAAGGGTATTTGCAAATGTAAAGGGAAAAGTGATTGAACTGGTTACACTCATCCTTGGGAGGTTTAGCACAGATTTTAGGAAGTTACTTTAAAGATATGCAGTAAATGTTTGCTGCCTCAATTCAGGGTGAGGGAGTTGTAGCAAAAAGCAAGTCTCAAAGTAGCCTAGGTACAATGCAGGCCTGATTCCCCACAGGAGAACCTATCCATGGGCGTGGGTCCTGTGTGCTGGACCTTGCTTTCCGCTGGCCTTTCCATGTGGAAGCTGGGCTACATTTCCCACGCCATGCAGAACAGTCTCCTATACTGTACTTTAGTCTACCTGAGGGAGACAGGAAAAGCCTTGTGGGGCAGGTCACTAGCTGGGGCCTAATAAGAAGAATGTCAGGTAGGCAAGGGGGTGGGCTGCAGCTAGGGGTGGGGCTAGCACACGTGGATGGATCCTACAGAAGCAAGAGAGCCTAGACAAACTCTTTCATGCAGCTTTGCGCTGACCGAGAGGTGACCATTACCAGTTCTATTCCTGGAATATGGTAGGATAGTTACCTGCACCATCTCGCTAATGGGGTGGGGGTGGGGTGGGGGGCATGGAGATTCTGGCCAGCAGTGACTTTTAAAGAGAAAAATAGTTTTTAATTTTGATTTTTGTTTACTTTTATCCCCACCCAAGGACATGCTTATTGATTTTAGAGAGAGGGGAGAGGAGGGGAAGGAGACAGAAACATCGATGTGAGAAGCATCAATGGGTTGACTCTTGTATGCACCAACTGGGGATTGAACCCAAAACCTAGGTATGTGTTCTGACCAGGAATCAAACCCATGACCTTTCTGTGTATGGAATGACACTCCAACCAACCGAGCCACCCAACCAGGGAGAGTTCATATTTTTTTGACATGTTTAAGAAATCTGTGCCAAACATAAAAACACTAAAGTTTTGTCTGTTTTCTTCTAGGAGTTTTCTGTTTTTAGCTTTTACATTTAGTCCTATGATCCATCATGAATTAAATCTAATACAGGGTCTGGCAGAAGTAACACCTGCTTGAGTGTGGTTGGTAGGGTGCATGAAAGTCTCACATGAGACAGACAGCAATTTGAACATTCCCCCTAAAATGTCATATGGTGTGCCTGAGTGTGATGTTATGTTAGGGAATTGTATGCTTACAATTATGTAATAAAAAGGGGAGTTATTTGTGCCAGATCCTTTATATGGTAGAGTTGGAGACTTTTTTTATATCCAGTTGTTCGAAGACAATTTGTTGAAAACTTATCCTTCCCACACTGGATTGCCCTTCCACCATTGTGAGAAGCCAAGTGACCACATGTACACAGTTCTATTTCTGGACTATAGTTCCTTGGACCTGTTTGTCCATCTTTATATTGATACTCTACTATCCTGACTGCTGTAGCTTTGTAGTAAGTTTTGAAGTTATGACGTGTTGCCCCTCCAAATTTGCTCTTGTTTTTACAAAAATTGTTTTGGTTATTGTAGGTCCTTTGCAGTTAAATATAAATTTTGAAACCAGATTTTTCATAAACTTACCCCCCAAAAAAGCCTGTTTGGACTTTGACTGACACTGCATTGTGTTAACTATAAATCAATTTGAAGGAAACTGACATCTTAAGAATACTGTTTCCAACCCATGTGTTACAGGGTGCAGCCAAGAGGGGGCCCCCAATAGGGATTTGGGATGGTGCCCAGAACTCAGAGTGTCCAGGAAATATTAGGATGTCCTCACCCCTCCCCTGCACAGGTGTGGATTGGAGGGACAAATGGAGCAGGGCCATTGAGAGCTGTTTTGCATAGCAACAGCTTTGCAGCTAACCCCTGCCATGGTCATTTAACATATCTATAACCTTTAACTGGTTGCACAGATATGGTAAATAGCTGTGGCCATGCTCTGAGCCAGGGGGATGGAAGCAACTTCCCCTCAAGATGTAACTGGGAGGTAACTCCCCCCAAGTTACAGCGCCTGCGTGGGAACTTGGAGATGGTTGGCTCCATGACATGGGGCCACGCCTGCTCAGATTCAATATGGCAGCCCAGTAAAGCTGGAAGGATACGAGAGTGCTGGCAAGTGTAGCCAATTGTGGGAGGAGTCAGAAATGGAGCTGCAGAGGAAGATTGGTGCAGGGATTTAAACCGAGACACGGCAGCCATTGAAGAGGAAAGACTCAGCAGCCATTGGAGGGAGGACCACAGCCAGTGCAGAGAGAACCACCCGGTTTTGGCAGAGTGGAGAGTCCTGCAGCTGTTGTGCAGAGAGAACTACAAGGCTGGGGCAGTGGAGAGAGAACCACATGGCTTTGCCAGAGTGGGGACCCCCGCAACTTTAGTAGGGGGAACCGGCTTTAGCAGAGATCCTGGCAACACAGCTGCCGGGTGCCAGGAACCGAGGGAGGCCTACCAGCTAAAACGGATTACTGGGAAGAACCAGGAGCTGTCTGAGCCATGGACTTCTATTTCCTTTCCTGAAATACGGTACCCCAGACTGGGCAAAGGGGGGAAGGAAGGACTGTGTGTGTTTGTGGGTGTTTTAAGGGGCTTTGGGATTTTGATGAAGACATTAGGTCACTACTTTAAGTCTGTATAGCATTAAATAAACATTTCCTTTCCTTTTCACAAATCTCTGGCATTGAGAGATGTCTTTCCTATAAGGTGGCAGACATAACAAACCTGGGGGGTTCCTTTCGGTAATAGTGTATTGCCTTTGCCCTGTATTGTTCTGTAACACATGAACAACAGTATGTGTGCCCGTTTAGGTCTTCATTCATTTTTCTCAGCTGTGTTTTATAGTTTCCGCTCCACAGGTCTTTCACATCTTTTATCAAGTTTATCCCTAAGAGTTTGATAATTTTGGACATTAATGTAAATTGCATTGTATCTTAACTTCTGATTGTGCCAGGTAAGTATATAGAAACACAATTAATTTTTGTATATTGATCTTATACCCTGCAGCCATGCTGAACGCACTTCTTAAGCCTTTGGTAGACACTATCGGATTTTCTACAAGTCATCTCTGAATGTAGTTTGACTTCCTCTTTTCTGGTGCCTTTTCCTTTACACCCCACTGCACCAGCTAGAACCCCCTGTAAACTGTTCGGAAGCAATGACAGTGGACATCCTTGCGTGGGACCTGTTAGGACAAGCGCATTCAGACACTCACCGTGATGTTTGCTGGAGATCTCCTTTTTGTAAGTGCTTTATCAAACCAAAGGAATTCCCTTTCAACTCTAACTTGCTTAGAGCCCTTATCACAAACAGTGATGAATTGTCAAATGCAACCTTCAGCATCCATTAACCACATGGTTTTCCTCCTGTATCAATATGGTGAGTTGTCTTCATACACTTTCAAGCACTAAACTGACATTTTTTGATAAACCCTATTTGGTTAGGGTGCATTATCCCTTTTCATATGGGATCATATGTTGGATTTGATTTGCTAATAATTTATTTAGCAATTGTATGCCGATGTTCACGAGGAATAGTTGTCTAGCTCTCCTTTCTTACAATACCTTTGTCTGGTCCGGAGATCACAATGTCAGCCTCACAGATGGAGTGGGAAAATACTCGTTCCTCTTCAATCTCCTGGGAGGGGTAGTGTAGGACTGGCATTTCTTCCTTGGACGGATGGTAACATTTACCACTAAGGTGATGTAGGCCCAGAGTATTCTTTGTGAGATTTTAAACTACTAATTCAATTTCTTTCATGAATAGGGCTATTTAGGTTGTCTATTTCTTCTTGAGTGAACTAAGAGATTTTGTATCTCCCCAAGAATTTGTGCTCATTTTATCCAAATTTTCAAATTTATTGCCATAAGTTGTTTATATTTATAGAACCTGTAGTGGTGTTACTTCTGTCATTCTTGGCATTGGTCATTTCCTTCCCTTTTTCTCCTGATCAGTCTAGATAGAGGTGTACGAATTGTTTTTGAGCTTCTCGAAGAACCAACTTTTGGCTTAATTTTTTTCTATTGCTTTTACCTTTCCAATGTCATTGATTTCTGTCTACCTTTGTTATTTCCCTTCTTCTGCTGATACTTTTATTTGCTCTTTTTAAGTGAAAATTGGGACACTGATTTGAAACTGCTTTTCTTAACGTATCACCCGGTGCTGTAACTTTCCCTCTAAGTACGGCTTTCATTGCATCACAAGACACAAGACTAACACACAAAAACCAACTGTATGTCCATTTGTGCAACAGCACCCAGAAAACACTTAGCTCTAAACCCAACTGGTACAGGGTTTGTGTGCTGACACTATGCAATGCTGATGAAAAAAAAACAAAAACTGAAATAAATAGAGTCACACCATGTTCATGGTTTAGAAGATTCACCAATGCAATTACGTGAATTTTCCCCAAAATTATCTATAGATTTAATGCAATTCCAGTGAAAATCCCAGCAGGGCTTTTGTATAGATAAGCTCATTCTAAAATTTACATAGAAAGACAAAATTGATAGAAAAGCCAAAATAATCTGAAAGAATAAAATGGTAGGAATCACACTACCAGATTTTTAAGACTCACACAAAATACTTTGACCATGTGGTATTGATAAAAGGACTCACAGATCAATGGAAAAGAATTCAAAGACCAGAAATAAATCCATACTAAAATGGCTAATTGATTCTTGACAAAGATACAAGAAAAATTCAGTGGAAAAAGAATAATCTTTTCAACAAATGATCCTGGAACAACCAGACATCCATCCACATGCCTCAAACACCAAACAAAAAACGTAAGCCCCACACTTAAAAAAATGAACTCAAAATAGATCATAAATCCAACTTTAATGTTAAACTATAAAACATTTAGAAGAAAATCTTCAAGAATTGAGGCTAGACACATTTCTTAGACATGACACCAAAAGGCAAAATTCATAAAAAATTGATAAACTGGACTTCAAAGAAAAATTGTCACTCTACGAAAACCAGTTGAGTGAAGAGACACACACAGACTAGGAGAAAATATTGCAAAGCACATCACTGTCAACAGACTAGTATCCATAATACACAGACTCTAAGCTCAACAATAAGAAAACTACCCATTTTAAACTACCCATTTAAAAATGAACCAAAAAAATTAGAAAAATAAAAATAATAAAAGAAAAAAAGGCAAAAAAAGAAAGAAAAAATTAAAATGGACAGATTTGAACAGACACTGCATCAAAGAGGATATACACAGACGGCAAATAAGCACATGAAAAGATATTCACCATCATTCCATTAGGGAAATATAAATTACAACCAGGGTGAGATTTCACTACACATCTATCAATATGGCTAAAATATAAAATACTGACAATTCCAAGTGTTGATGAAGATGCAGAACAACTGGAACTCTTTGCCAAGTAACGACTTTTTCTCAGACGCACTATATAAATGTGCTTACAAGAAATACCATTTTGACATTGTGACTTTAGACAAAGATGCTCATCAATTGAGTCAACACAGGTTTCCAGGAAGAGGACATATGGGACAAATTTGAATTGTGCACCATTTTTGAGTGACGTGTAAGATATTTTTGTTGGCATGGGTGGAATCTCGAGTTCAGCCTACCACATGTTCACCGCATCATTTCTTTAAAGCACTCTTGAATTTAGCCTGTATTTTGTCCTAAAGCAGAAGTCAGCAAACTTTTCCCATAAAGGGTCATAGTAAATACTTTCAGCTCTGCAGGCCTTATGGCCTCTGTTGAAACTACTTAACTCTGCCCTCAGCAGAGCACCCAGTGGGCATTTGATCCTGTTGGATGGGTTTTAATAAAGCTATGCAGAAACGGGCTGTAGCTTGACTGGGCCCACTGACGCCATCCAGGGGCCGGAGCAGCAGAGACCAAGGGGCTGGCAGCTCACCGGCAGGACCAGGGCCAGCTTCCATTAGCACTGAGCATTTAGTTAGCAGCGGCCTGGTTTTATTGGAGAAACATCTCAGCTGCTTGCAAGCATTTGCCCCAAGGTAATTGGGAGAGACATCTAATCCTCCTTAAGCAGCTCAACCCCTGTCACCTTCTGCAGCAAGGGGCTGAGGGCCTGCCCTAATGACAGAGCTGTGTCAAGAGCCCAGTTCTCCCGACCACTGAAGGCCCAGCCCCTTTATAAGCAGGAAGCTCCCCAGAAAAACAGGAAGTATCTTCACCTGCCCCATCACGAGAGTAGCAGAAATGTTTCTTGGGGTCACCCAGGGATGGCATCATCATCTCTGTGAGTGGGGCCCAGGTAGCCTTGAAGCACACCCCAGGACAAGCAATATAGTGCCTTGCTCCTCCAGCCCGTCCAGTGGCCCAAGATACACAGCCACAGGGCTAGGGTCCAGGGCCCTTGGTCTTCACAAAACCCACAGCAGGCTTCAAGGAATAGACTTTATTAACCTAGCTCTCAAACACTAGAAGCTAAAATTACAACAACCCATCAGTATTTACAGAGTGCCGCCCGCAGGCCAGGTGGGGCTGGGCTGGCACTTCCCCAGACACCCACCGAGAGCAGCCTCTGAGCGGGCGGGGGCCAAGGCTGTGACTGCCGAGAGGGCTGGCGGGCCTGCCTCAGTACTTCTTCAGGCTGTAGGTCAGACTGCCAGGGACCCTGGTGCTCTGCAGGGGCGGCGAGTGCCAGACGGCAGAGCTGGTGCGCTTGTGGTAGCGAGGCTTGCTCTTCTTAAAGATGTCCTCCAGGTCCAGCTGGAGGATGGTTCCAAAGAGCTCGAGCACATTCGGGGGGTGATAGTACTGGTGGATGATGGCCTGGCTGAGCTGGGTGCCTGCCGGGGAACAGAGGTCACTGTCTTAGGGCTCCCCATGGGCCCCACCCAGAGCCCTCCGTCACCCTCCATGCCAGCATGCCCCCACCTCCTGCCATTATCGGCTCCTCTGAGCCCCGCTCCTCCCGCCCCACCACCGAACACTGTAATGCTCTCACTCCACATTCCTACTGCCCCGTCTGGCAGCCGGGTCTGCACCCAGGTCCTCAGTTCAGAGGGCCGGGCACTCGGCTGAGCCCGCACCCACCTGGGAGCCAGGTCCTCTATTCTCCCCGTTCTATACTGGTGAGACTTGCGCAGAGGCGCACAGCTAGGAACTGGCAGAGCCGGGGTTTTAAGCCAAGTCTAGCTCCAGAACGTAGGCCCATGATGCCATGCTCGACTGCAGTGGTCGGCTCTTTATCTCATCAGCCAGCCACAGCCGCCCCGAGGAAGGGAGGGCGCCGGACAGAGAGGACCTCTGGGCTGAGGCTGTGGGTGGCACACCCCTGCCAACAGGGAGAATCGGGTGGAACGTGCAGCCAGCTTGCTCTGCACCGGGCCTTCCGCGTACTCACTTCACCCTCAGTGACCCTTCTCAGCTGGATCCTATTATCATGCCCATTTCACAGATGAGAAAACTAAGCTGGCAAAGGTCAACTACAGCTAGGTGGCTTTGCCAGTCCCCTGTCTCCCTGGCCACACTGACACCTCCCGGTGACTTGATGCTGGTAGTTAAGGAGACTCATTCAGATTCTGGTGGCTGCGGGCCTCAAACGAGGTGACAATCATAAGAGCAAGTTGTCTTCGGCAGAGCACTGGCCCCTGGGGAGCGAGACTACAGCCCGCCCTGACCTCCGGACCTTTGAACTCTGTGAAGCACCCGCTGTATGCACAGCCCCATTCCACTGCCAGCAGGTGTCACACCCAGGTCTAGGGCCGCGGGCATGCTTGCCCCTGCTCCTGGCTAAACACTGCGGGCCTGTAAACTTCAGGGTCAAATCTCGCTCAAGTGCCGTGCCTCCACCGTATGGCTTTCCTGCCTCCTCCAGCTGGCTGGCGCTCCCAGCCCGAGCTCTTAGTGCACCACTAAACCCCCGTATCCTTCTTGGCTCTATTCCCCCCGTAGGCTCCTTATTTGGATCCAAGTCTCATCTGGCCTTCTGGGCAGGACTCCGAGAAGGGGCCTAAAGAGCCGGAGCCGGAACACCCAGCACCGGGGTGCCCCCAGTCAACTGCAATTTAATACATTTTTTTAAAACAAAGGTGTCCAACGTCTGTTCCAAAGATGAGCCCACTGGCCACAGAGTGGCCACCCTTCCCTGAGCGTGTCCCAAGGCCCAGAGCAGGCTTGTCAGGCCAACACGTCAAGTGTCTAGCCCATGAGTACAACAGCCTCCCGACACCAGTGTCTGCCAAGCCACTCCCTCCAGGGACCCCTAAAGTCACAAGTGAGGACCCAGATGTCCAGGGAGCCCTGGACCCTGCTTACCTCTGGCCCAGGCGGGGATGGGCTTCCGGGGATGGGCCTCGTCGTCAGTGGAGTCATCGCTATTCAGATCCATCCCGTAGTTATCCGGGTTGATCTTGGGGGGACCCCTGTGCCCTTGTGGAGTCATCTGATACGAGGTGCAAGCTGGAGACTGGAAAGGGTGTGGTCGTCAGCTTTCCCGCCCCGCATTCCTGCATCTGCCACCACTGAGGAGCGCGGGGACTCGGGCCACCTCCCCTCACCTCACAGGAAAAATCAAAAGGCTCGGGTCCCTTAAAAAAGTCACACCACACACAGAACTCGGTAGCTCCCTTTCTCGTGCTAGAGTCGGCTGCAAACGCATGCCCAGGTCAGAAGCCTGCTGTGAATGGCGACCCGGGACGCCACCACGAACCCCATCCTTCTCCACGTAAACATCGCAGAGAAGACCGTCCAGCTAACCCCCAACTCTCCCACACCTCCGCCCACGCTGCACCGCACACCCTTCCTCACAGCGCGTTCTCTTTGCAGAGCAGTAAACTGCAAGTCACCTAAATACGCATCCACGGGCGCTGGCTAAAGAAATGCCGAAACTAGCCGGTACACAACTGCCAAAATTAAGAGGTTTACAAGGGCTGAAATAGGTAACTGTCTGCAACATACTAAAAGAAAGGAGGAGGACAAAATCAAGCTGCCAAGGGGTATGTATACTACGGAGTAAAGGCAAGTCCCCACAAGGTCCTGTGTTGCACCCCACCCCTCAACACGAGGGTGTTAGGAGGCGGGCCTTTGGGAGGTGCCCGGGTCAGAGGGCAGAGCCCTCCTGAATGCAATTAATATCCTCAAAGAGGAGACCCCAGAGAGCTCCGTCTCCCCTCCCACTGGGTGAGGACATGGCGAGAAGACAGCTGTCTGTGAACCAGGGAGAGGGCTCCCAAAAGACATCAAATCCGCCGGCACCTTGACTTTGGAGTTCCCATTCTCGGACAGTTTGTTTAAGCCACCTAGTCGATGGCACTTTGTTAGAGCAGCCTGAGCAGACTAGCACAGTACGTGCAGGCTGCGTCCGCCTACACTCTCTGTGCGCAAAAGGTTTACATGTGTATCTATATAAAAATATACATATACCATAATTTTCATCGAGGTACCTTTTACTTTATACTCCTTTATAAAGCTTAGTTTCTTTTTTTGTTGTGGTTATTTACAACAAATTCTATTTTGAGAATAAGAAAGAATATACCTATGAAAATCAGTAAAAACTGTTGGGCCAACTGTACCCTTCCTCTTTCTTATGGTCCCTAGATGCAATGTGTGCCTCCAGTTACGGAAAGAGAATAAGCAGAGCTGGGCCCTCTCTTGCTCTGGTGCCCAAGCCTCACCTGCACGTCCACGGTCGTGTTCAGGCCTCTGCTGGACGCTGCAGCCTCTTTGGCTTTCTTCTCCTGCTCTTCCTGTAGACGCTGCTGCTGTTCCTGGGACCAACAGCCAGCCGGGTGTTAAAAACCACGGGAACATGCTCTCTCCCCGACCCCAGGCCAGCCCCGCACGGCCAGGCAAGCAAGGCGGCTCCTGCCCCAGGAGCCACTAGGTCAGGGCCCTCCAGGCCCAAAGTCCTGCACACCAACTCCCCCATACCTTTTTCTTCTTCTCTTCCAGTTCCCTCTGCAGCTTCTCCTTCTGGAGCCGCAGGGCCTTCTCCCTCTCCTGCAGCTCCCTGGAAACCAAGCAAGAGCCTGTCAGGGCAGGAAGCTGAGCCCCGGCTCTGTTTCCAGCCCTGCCAGGCCCATCCGCACTGGCCGTAGAAGCGGAAATGGCAGAATGGGCACAGCAGCCAAGAGCCCACAGCGGCGCCTATGCCGAAAGGGCTGGAAAGTTCTTGCCCAGGGTGCAGGGGCACTCAGCTTTGGAGAGCACCAAATTTGGCCCCCCATGCTTCCACGCAACTTAGGTCTCAGCTTCAGTCTTATCTGTTGTACAGTGGGGACCGTGACCCCTCTCCTCCAGAGTTACCAGGACAATTAGATGGGATAGGCTGAGTTATCTCCGACCGTCCTGGCCCACAGGGTGGACACTGGGCTACGAGCCTGGCGTGGGCTCTGGGGCCACCTCCACTAACCAGCTCGTGACCTGAGCAAGTCATGTAACCTCTCAGCCCGTTTCCCCTCTGGGAAGCGGGGCTGCCGGTTCCTATGCCGCAGGGGCCTTCCGTGAGGATTCACCAAGGCAACGTGTGAAGCGTGTAGCCCAGGACCCACCAAAGCTGCCGACCACTAGGCCCACCACGCCATCACCCCTTCCAAGCCCCTGGCATCGCCTGGCACACATGCGATTCTAAAACCACATCTGTCACCCACCCACCCTCTGTCCCCCGCCCAGACCCCTGTGTCTCTGACTGTGCCACAAACCCAGGACAGCTTGTGCCCATCAAGAAGCACAGGGAGATGGCCCTGATGCAGTCAGCCCTCTGGCTTCCACTGGGCAGCAGCCACCCAAATGGCCCGATGGACACGGGAAGTGTTGCCTTCTGTTCCCCAGGAGGTGGAGTCGGCAGAGAGGCAGTCACTAGGCCTGTGCTTGGGTGTTCCCACCTGTCCTTACACACACCTGGGCCCAGTTCACGTCTGCACACAAGTGCGTTCATATAGGCACGGATCCCACCTATCCTGGCCAACAGTGGCTTGTCCTCCTTGGCATGCCCGGGACCCCGCCCAGCCAAGCATGAGGTGAGCCCCAGATAAAGGCTCGCAGAACTCAATGTGGGGATCCTGCCTGCGGCACAGAGACCCCTGACTCTGAGAACTGCAAGACCAGAAATGCTGGGATGTGGGGCGGGGGTGAGGATCTGCATCCTCATCACCACGGAAGAGGCACGTTTAGTGGGCAGGGGCCAAGGATGCTGAAGGTCCTGCGATGCACCAAATGCCCATGGGGGCCTGGTGAGAAATGCTGGCTAACCCTACAGCAGCACCTCCCACCCCTGCCGTGTCAGCAGAGGACACAAAGAACCAAAGGGGCACCACACCGGATGGAGGAAGAACTAACAGAGTCCCAAGTGACCCTGCCCATTATATCTTCAGCCTCCCAAGGCCAGCACGCCACATTCGGGTGGTCTGCCTGCTGTGGGCCCCTGGGTTTGGAGCCGAGGAGGTGTGTCCCTCCTTTGCAAATGCCAAGTGAAAGTAGGAGCTGTTTCTAGAGGACAGCTCCATCTCTCCGGCCCTCGGGACTCCCTCACCTCTCGGCCTGGAGCCGCTCCTGCTCCCTCCGCCGCTCCTGCTCCCGCTGCTCCGCCAGCTGCCGCTCCTGCTCCCGCTGCTCCGCCAGCCTCTTGGCCTCTGCCGCCTTTCGCAGCCGCTCCTGCTCCTCCTCCTCCTTTTTCTTCTGCAGCAGCTCCTGATGTCTCCGCTCTTCCTCCTCCTGTGAGCACAGAGCTAGGTCAGGGCATCAGACCCGGCCCGGGCTGGGGGCGATGGCGGGAGGCTGCTCCCTCCCTGCAGCCCAGGCCCCCTGCAGCATCAGAGACCATCCGGGGCTGAGCCGGGGTCACCCTACACCAGGTGCCACAGAATCACCACTGCCTGCCTGGAAAGGCATCCTGTGACAACCTCTTAGGGTACAGACTGGAGCCAAACGCACTTCGCTGTGTGACACTGTGCTATCACTCAGCCCTCCGGCTTGGTTCTTCGTGTAGCAAATGGGAACAACAGGAACACCTAACATACTCGGAACTGTGCCTGGCACACAGTAAACACTGCGCAAAGTTTAGCCATGAATATTACACCCCCCGAGACAGACTTGTGCTCCCTGAGTGGGAAGGTCGACAGCTCCAAGGGGGAGGCAGGCCCTCCCTCGAAGAGGCAGAACTGGTCACCTTACGTCGGCCCTGTCAGGTAGACTCTGCTGCTACCCGGAGGACCCAAAGCCCCGAGAGGCCCAGTAACCTGTCCAAGGTCACACAGCTAATAACGAGCACAGCTGAGAGTGGAAGTCAGAGCCGAGAGCGAGTCCGTGTGCTTCAGCCTCCAGCAAAACGGAAAGCACGTCACTGTCACCATCCCCACCTCCAAGGCACTCGTTGAAACTCCTCAGGGCTTGAAGCCACAAGGCCCCCCCGGACGAACCCGACAAAGTGGGGTATGCCCAGCAGTGGCTGAGGCTGTCTGTCCTGCGACTCCCTCCCTGGGTACCCAAGCCCCTGTCCACCTGAGCCCACACCTGTTGTAGCCACTTCAGCCTCCGTGCCTCCTCCTCCTGCTTCCTGCGCACCTCCATCTCCTCCATCTTCTTGGCTGCTGCCTTTTTCTTGGCCTTCTCCTCTGCCAGTCGCTCCTCCTTGGCCTGCGGAGCCCACCCACGCGTGCCCATGAGAGCCGCCCTGCTCCCTCAGAACTACCAGGTGAGCCCCGGAGCCGGGACAGGTACCCCATGTCCTGCAAACCCAGCCCTGCCCAGGAGCATCGGCCCGCCCACTCGCAGAGGGCTGCTGCTTGGTCCACAGCAGAGACCGTCCACCCTCAGCTGGGCTCAGAACCAACTGCTGGACCCCTGCACGGACGGGAGCGGGGCCCAGGGTGTCAAACCCCTAACTTCCTGAGGGATACGGTCCTAACCCTCGGACCACCAAGTGCCAGAGACTTGGGCCCCAGCAGGGAACGGCCCCCGAGATCGGGCTGCCCACCAGCCCCCGGCTCGCACCTTCTCATTCTTCTCATCCAGCTGGGCGAACTTCTGCTCGATCTGCTTCTTCTTCTCCTCCTTCATCTGCTCCACCCGCTCCCGGGCCTGCATCACCTTGCGGAGGCGCTCCTCGCGCTTCCTGTGAGCACGGGGCAATCAGGGGGAGCCCGCGGCAGCCTGGGCTGGCCGGGGGCCAGGGGGCCGGGAGCTGGGCCACTTACAGCTTCGCCTCCTCCAGCCGCCGCCGCTTGTCCTCCTCGACCTTCTGCCTGCGCAGCTGCTCTGCCTCCTCCTTCCGCCGCAGGTTCTCCAGGCGCTGCCGCTCCTTCTCCTGGGTGGGAGCGGGGAGTGAGCAGGGACAGCCCAGTGCTGGGCCGGGGACCTGGCTCGTCCAGGATGGTCCACCAGGCCCACAGCCTCCAGCCAGATGGACAGCAACATCAGACTGCTTCTGGGGGCAGAGTCGCCCCCAGAGACCTTCCATTCCCACCCTGATTGAGGACTGGGCCTTCCATCTTTCTTCTCCGGGCACCCTAAGGCCTCCCAAGAGCCTGAGTCACAAATGTCCTCAACTCAGCCCTGCCCAGCGTGGGCAGGACAAACACGAGGTTCCCACCTGGACGTACGCTCTGATGATGACTACGTACAGGTGCGTCTGAGAGGAGGCTGAAGAGCAAGACTGGGAGTTTACTGTTCCGCTTTAGGACTTCCTTACTGTGTGTGTGCGCGCTTTAACAAGCAGTCACAAACATTCTTAAGACAACTGGAAAAATGGAAAACCTCACGAAGTAAAGGATCTGAAGAACGAAATGGAAACTTTAGGGTGAATAACACAATAACTGAAAAACTCAGGGGATGGGTCCAAGAGATGATGGAGCAGACAGACGTTGGCAACACATGAAGACAAATCAGTAACACGCACCCAGTCCGAACACAGAGACGAGACACTGACAGGAAAACTGACAGCGCCCGAGGCAACTGCAAGGCAACACCAAGGCCCGTCATTTGTGCCATCGCCACCCCATAGTGGGAAGGGTGCAATGCAGGGCAAAAAAATGTGGAAAAATAATGGCAACACTCCAAATTTGGTAAAAGTTATAAATCTACAGATTCAAGGTCACCAGAACCCAAGCAGGATCAACCTAAGGAAACCCATGCCTAGCCACGTCATAATCACACTGTTGAAAACTTAATACGAAGGGGAAAAGTCTCAAAAGCAGCCACGAAAAAAAGACACATCACCTAGAGCAGCGGCGGGGGGCGGGTGGGGGGGGGCACGACAATGACTCGAAGGACAGAAGGCCTCTCACTAGGAACTACGGAGCCAGAAGGAAGCGGCACAACATTTGCAAAGCGCTGAAAGGGAAGAACTGTTAACCCAGAACTCCATCTGCGCGCAGCGAAAACGCCCCTCGGCCTGAAGCACAGAGGTTCTCCCCAACGAAGAGAAACCAGGGAATGCGCTGCTGGCAGACTCCTCCTCACAGAGCTGCTGCAGCGAGTTCTCCAGACAAAAGGAAACGATACCGGGACAAGCAAAACATCAAACACGAGAGAATAAGAACGACAAATATCTGGGTGAATATCAATAGACCATTCTTCCCCTCCTGAGGCCTTCGCCGTGTTTGCCAGTTGAGAGCAAAAATTACGACGCTGTCTGGAGAGGCGGCCGAAGCACGAGGACGCCGCGTGTGAGATGGGAACAGCGCACACGGGGCGGGAGGCGTGCGGTGAGGTCCCTACGTCACAGCTGAACCGGTGCCCATTCTACGGTGGGCGTGAAAGTGAAGTGTGTAATGCCCAGAGGGACCAGGAGAAGGACTGCGAGATGCAAGAGTCACAATGACAATGAAAAAATGAAAATGGAATACTAAAATGTTCGAGTGAGCATTTACCAAGTATAGATTTGACTATATAGTTCTCAACACAAACTTGACTGTATAATCTTTTAACATAAAAGCGATTTCTTTTTAAAAAACAAAGAATAGAAGGAAAGAGAGATGGCCGGGAGCCAGAGCGGCAGAGCTGAGCGCAGGAAGGACCTGGGGGACGCTGGCCTCCGGGAGGCTCCCATGGGGGGAGTAGGTGGTCTTTGGCTGGCTCCCGCTCCGGGACGGCCCAGACCCAGAGGAGACCAGCAGGAGGCCGGGCCTCCACCCACTACACCCACCTGCTCTTCTGTGAGGAAAGCACCGTGGGAGCGAAAGCCAGGTGGCCCAGAGGGCGCCCACCACCATATCTTCCTGCCCCGAGGACCCAACAGAGTCCTGCTTTCAACAGGGCCCGGCAAAACAGGTTTTCGTCCCCAAACCCGAGTGCTGGATTTCCCCAGCGCAGGTCAGAGAACCGACCCCGCTGCACTGCAAGTTTCATAGCACACGAGAGCTGTTTGTGTTACAGGACATGCTTCCTCTTTGCCCCAACCCGTAAAGGCGGGCTGGCTTGTCCCTGCGCCCCAGAGGCCACCGACAAGGCCAAAGCAGAAGGTGGGAGGAACCCAAAGCTGGTGCAGCCCTTTCTGCCTCCAGGGGCTTCGCCCGAGCAGTCTCCCTGCACGCCTAGCCCCGTGCTGGATGCTTGACACCCTTACTCTCTGGTTCACCCCACCTCTATGAGGGGCCTAATGGGAAACGTACGTCCAAGGGTTGGGAAACTAGTCCAAGGCCCCAAGGCCCGTGCGACCTACCGAGGCTCCTCGAGGACTATCTTACCCACCCCCCGCACATGCCCTGCGCAGGGACCTGGGCTCCCTGAAGCAGGAAAAGGATGGGCCTCTCGGTCGTCCCCGTGAGCCCTGCCAGGCTCCGACCCGTCTCGGTGGGGCACAGGAGTGCCCTGTAGGGTGAACAATTCTGAGTCTGGTTCACTGCCGTGGGCCCAGATGCCTAGCAGGCGCCTGGCAGAAAAACAGGCACATAAGGCTTCCCAGGCTACTGACTGGCATGTTGGAAGGTAAGCCGTTGCCACGGCCACCCAGAGGGGACCAGCCTCCGTGCAGAGAGGCAAGTTCAGGTCCCACCTGTCTGCTGCTGGGAAGCCCTTGCTCTGCCAGGGTCCAGGGCAGTGCTGCCGAGGCCTTCTGGCTCCCGGTGGAGGCAGAAGCCCTCCCGCAGGCCCTTCAGCGCACCGGGGGGAACTTGAGGAGTGAAGCAGCTGCAGCTTTGCAACTCAGGAGCCCCAGAGAGCCGCGACTGCAGGCCCGGCCGATCCCGGCTCTCTGTGGCTCCTTGCTCACGGCTGGCGGCCCAGCTTAGCGCTGAGGTGTCTGAGAAGAGGACGGCTTCTGTGGCCTCCTTTCCAGAGGCCACTGCTGACAGTCCACCCTCAGTCACCTGCCTGGCCTTCAACCACCCATTGCTCTGCCCTCCCCTTAAGGCAGGAGCTCAGGTGTGTGACCCAGCAAATCTCAGCTTCAGACCCTGGGCAAAAAGCTACAGGCCACACACCCTTTGCTCCCTTCCAGCTCAGGGAGGCTCCGAGACTCCTCCTGCTGGTCGCAGATTCAAAGGCAGAGAGGCAGGGAGGGGGCCTGGCCCAGCACAGCCAAGGCCTGCAGCTGCCGCCCAGCGCCTCTGGTCCACCTCCCACCTCCCTCACCGCTCCCGCTCAGCATGTTAGTGCCACTACAGGTGCGGTCAGTTCTGCAAGGACGGCTACAGCAGCTCGGTGCCAGGTGGAGCGAGGTTACAAGGGCAGGAAAGGGTTTTACTTACAACGAAGCTGCACTGTGGAGGAGAGGAGACAAGGAAGAAGCCGAGAGTTAGTGCGGGGCCAGGGGGTGTCCTGGAAAGGTGCCCAGGCTCCCACTTCGCCAGCGAGTCCGCTCCCTTATCTCACCCAGCCCTCGCCCCCAATGCGGGAAAGCGTCACAGGCGTGCCCCTCGCCTTAACCCTCAAGGCGCCGGGGGTGTGGGACAGGTGGACAAGGTCAGGGCCTGCTAGGCCACTTCTGCAACTGCACAGACCCGGGGCCAAGACGCAAGGGTCACGCTGAGTTGTCCAAACCTCTAGGCCACAGTACAGAGCCCAAGAGGTCAGGACGGATCCCTGAGCTGGCCTTCGACCAGTGCCGGGTCACACCTGCCTGGGCCCAGACACACGGTGCTCTCAGCAGCCTTGGGGACCTCCGGGAGCCTCCAGCCATGCCGCCCAACCCTAGCCAAGCTCAGTCTGGGGCACGGGCTCCCTCACCTTGGGGTCCACGCGCAGGGGAGTGTTGCGCTTGATGAAGGACTTCATGACACTGCTGCGGGAGGCCGAGGTCGGGGTCATGAGCATCTGGTTCCTCTGCACGGTGTGCAGGAAGGTCCGCAGAGGCCGCACCACCTGCAGGTGGGGACCAGGGTCAGGGCCACAGGCAGGGTGGAGGCACCGAGGGAGGGCAGACCTCTGCTGTGTCCCCCTGCTCACCTTGCTGGCTGGACAGGGCGGGGAAGGGGTCTTGCTCCGGGGGGGCTGCAGCTCCTCGTCCTCCAGGGGCTGCTCTTCGTCTTCCAGCTCACTCACGGCCTGCTTGTAGCTGCGCTTCCTCCTGCAGGAGCGCGGTGGGCAGGAGCATCGCGGGGCTGCCCAGGGAGCCCCCTCCAGAGCCCGAGCCACACCCCATGAAAGGGCACCTCCATGAAGAAAACTGGGACCAGCCCACGGGCCTCACTGCTAGAGAGGTAGGGTCTCCCTAACTGAGAAAGGGAAGGGACCAGCGTGGGGTCCCGTGACCAGGAGGACACAGAAGGACGGGGTCCGGGATCGGGTCACTCGCGCCCAGGCCAGGCTCATCCCGCGGCACCGAGCTGCCTCCTTCATTAAAGCCAGAGCACCAGGCCCCACTTCTGCTGGGGGGAAACGGGGCCCCCGACCACACGTTCCCCCACCCGGGAGAGGGCTCGAGCTTCATGCCCCCCTGGGCCCTTTGGCATAGTGGCCTGCACACCCGTTCCCAAACACAAACCTGACACTCTGGGGTGGCTCCTTGGGGCCATCTGCTGGACCAGTCCTGGCCTCTGTGAAGAGAGCCATTTCAGTGAGGGCACGGGGCAGCAGGGAGGCGTCAGGGAAAGGTGCCCCCTGGTGGCAGCTTGTGGCAGGGGCAAGTGCAGAGGAGCAAGGCTCTCTTCCGGGCAGACCCCCGAGTGGCCAGTGGCAGAAACATCAGCCTCAGCACCGACTGGCCTTGACGCACCTGTGGCCATGCCGAGTCCAGCATGCACCCCCAGCACACAGACCCCTCACCCCTGCGCCTCTGTGACAAGGACTGCAGGACAGTCCCGGGGGGGCCCCAACCATGACCTAGCCACCTCTAAGAGAAAGGCGGGGGGGGCATCTTTCAGGAATGGAAGCCTATGGAACAGACCCCTTGACCAGCTTTGAAATCCCACCCCTCCTGGCCCTGTCAGCTGGAACCAACGGGACAGGAGGCGGTGGGGGTGTGGGGGGCAGGGGGGGCCGCATCGGGGGTGCTCCTCGGCAGGGTCCACATGGGGGTGCGGGGTCAGTACGTTTTGTTTCACTGCCAGGAGAAAGCACTAATCTCCCCGCTGCCCTCTGACACTCTTTATTCCGATGGGTCCTTATTCCAAGGGGCTACGGGGTTGGCAGGGCCACTGTCCCTGACCCGGGTTCAGAGGGGAAGCTGTGTCCCAGAATTCACAACTACAGTGCTCTTCCCACCACAGGGACGTGAGCCGAACCCCAGGGCACCTCTGGCAGACTGGGGGTGCCGGAGCCCAGAACCTGCAGCTCTCCCACTCTCTGCAGACAGGAGACTCACAAGGGTAAGAAAGAGCCAGTGACCAGGGACAAAGACCCCAACACACAGTTCCTTCTGCTGCCCCCTCGAGTGGAGCTCAAGGCCATGCAACAGTTCAAGCCCTTCCCCCATCTCTCCTTGTTCCCTGCGCCAGCAGCCATGGCCACTCACACAGGCACCTGGCAGCAGCTCCAGCCAAAGGCAGGTGATGAAACCTGCAGACTCCAAGGAGGCCTACACACCCTGGGTCTCATTATTACCTTCAGCCTGCCAGCCCAGGAAATGCGATTCCCTCTCCCCAGAGAGTCAGGTCGGAGCCACCAAGGCCTGGGTGGCCCTGGGTATCCGCATACGGCAGGTCAGGAAGACTCACTCACCTTGCTGCCCTGCAGAGGGTGTTTCCTGGCTACCAGCCACAGGCTGTGAGTGGGATGTGCTAACAACAATCTTGTTGGCACTGCGGGGCGACGATGTACTTCCTTCATTCTTGGGGACCTGGGCAAAGAACCAAGACTTCAGGGCTCCAGACCTGGGACTCGGCACAGAGCACAAGCCCCAAGGCCCTCCAGCCCGGCCCTCCCTGGCCGGCCCGCCTTACCGCCGGCTCGGCCTCCTCCACGGGCTCAGCCTCCTCGCTGGAGTCCTCCTCGGGGCTGAAAGCAGAGCAGAAGATGCCATGGAGCCCACCCAGCCTAAATCGTCCCCACAGGAGCTCCGCCCCCAACCCTGGCCTGGGTCACAAACCCACAGCCCCAGGCGGGACAACAGCCAGAACCAGCGGCTCCCTGGAGCGTCCGCTCCCTGGGTCGATGAGGGATGTCCTCCTCTGAATTTGGGCCTCGATTCAGGATGTGAGCCCTTTCCCAGCTCCACCTCAACCCCTTGGGCCCGGACGAGCCACGGCTGTTTTGAGGCCCGCTCCCCGTTCACCACGGGGCCAGCAAAGCCAGCAGCTCTGCCCAGTCACCCCGCCTCGCCATCCCAAGCACGGACTCTCTTCCAAAGCAAGGGTCTGGCCTGCAGGCCAGGGGGCGCTGGCCCAGAGCAGCGCTGGGGTGTGGTCCCAGAGCAGGGAGCAGCCAAAGCCCCACGCCGCCCCCGTTCTACCCACCCAGATTTGACTGTGGCTCCTCGTGGCTGCCCTGGCTCGTCCCCAGGCCTTTGAGCTGACAGCCTATGGGCCCCATGTCCCAGGATAGGCCGGGGCGGACAAGCGGCACTGACAAGCGAGTAGGGAGACTTGACACTGTGCCACCTGCTGCCTGGTTAGACTGGGGCGGGGGCGGGGCCGGGGCTGCCGCAGTGGGCGGTCCCAGCAGGAAGGAAGGGTCCGACCTAGGAAATGTTTCCATTCCTGGGGTGTGCACCTGGACCACTTGGCCCCGGTGTGTCCTGCCCAGCCCTGGGAAGGTCCCCAAGCCCTGGAACTGAACTCACCTGACTTTCTGGGGCACCTCGACATTCAGGAGCCTCTCCAGGTAACTGTGACCTGGGCGGGGGAGGAACAAAGGAACAAAAGATAAGCTCGAAAACTGGCCAGGTGCCACTCTACGGGGCCCAGGGAACCAGGCTGGTGGGGGGAGGCGTGGCCACTCCTGGTCTGAAGGCAGACCCTCTCAGAGACCCCTCCCTCCACGGGACAGACCCTCTCCACACAGGACAGACACGTCCAGTTCCACTTAAGGATGTCCTGGATGCAAGTAGAGACTAGTCACTTTATTAAATATGAGCTGAAGGGTGCGTCCTTCTAAGGCTGCGTGATGAGACAGGAAGCAGGCGGGATGCCCAGGTCTCTGCGAAAAGTACCCCCATGGGGCTCCCAGCTAAACCAGCCGCTCTGCTCACAGAACCCCCCGGCCGGAGGGAACGACTGACAAGCTGTGGTTATGCGAGCGTGGGTATCTGGCAGACCTCCTCTTAAGGATGAACAAAGCGACACAGTACTTGGAAAAAGCAACAGTATTTGTGGCCAACAATAAAAAACTGAGCCCTGGCCAGCATGGCTCAGGTGGCTGGGCGTTGTCCCGCAGACTGAAAGGTCACTAGTTCGATTCCCGGCTGGGGCATGAGCCTGGGGCTCAGGCTCTGCTCTCCGACCCCCGTCAGGGTGCTCGCCAAGGGAGCCAATTGATGGTTCTCACATGCATGTTTCTCTCCCTCTCTTTCCCCCTCCCTTTCCCTCTCTCTGAAGTGGAAACATTAAAAATAAATAATTGGGGGGGGTGCCAAAAATAGAATTTTGGAACACGGGTACCCACCACCATGAACTTCATAGCATCCTAATCCCTGAAGATTTTTCTGATGAGACCAGAACTGCCTCCCTCCCCCCTCGAGGTGGAGAGAAGTCAGACAGGCTTGGGTCAAGGGCAAGTCGAACGAGAGGGCGGACGGGGAGAAGCCCCTGGAGTGGCTTCATGCCGGGAATCCGGCTTCAGATCCCAAAGCAAGAGCGGGCTCTGGAGTCTCTCCTGCCCTCCCCCTGGAGCTCCGGGCTCGCCTGCCCCTGGGGCCTCTTCCCAGGGCCAGAGCCAGGCCTGAGGAGATCTCCAAGGCAGGTCAGAACCACCCGGGTCCTTCTGAAGACCCAAAAACAGACAGTGGGTCAGACCACACACACGTGCACCTGCCCTAGATTTAGTGTCCTGAGCCCCCCCACACCCCAGAGCAAGCCCCTCCCCACGTGGGGAAGGGAAGAAACCCCCGGCAAGGTGAGGTGCCCTCACCTGCCTGCCTGAGCCCCACACGGGGCTCGCCACCAGGTGTCCTCAGCGAGTGGCTGCAGGACTGGAAGAGACAGAACACGTGGGCTCAATCCGCAGCCTCTCAGTTCATAGACTCGGTGACCGCATTGCACCTCAGTCTCCCCCGCTGCGCAGTGGGGAAACCCCAACAGGCTAACAGGAGCTGCAGGGACCCAATGCGATGACCTTGAGTTTCATAAGCCTTCAAGTGCGGGGCAGATATCGGCCACAGTTTTAATGCACATTAATGTGAAACCCGGCCTTCTCCTCCATCAGTCCCACTCCTCTCCCGCCCCCCCCACCCCCCCCCCCCGTCCTCTGCCTGGACCCTCGCAGCGGCCTCCTGCCTGGTCTCCCTGCCTCCTTCTCTCCCTCCCTCTTTGTCATCGTCTGTACAGTGCCAGGAAGCTCCCAACAGCCATCAAGGGCCACATCGCCACATGAAAGGGATCGGACCCAAGCCCGTGTGGCCCATGAGCCCCAGACACCCCAGCACTTGCCATTCCATGCCCCAGGGTCTTCGCAGCAGCTGTTCCCTCTGCCAGGGATACCTTTCCCCACATTTCCTCCAGGTAGCCAGCCCTGACTCTCGCAGCTGCCTGTCCTCTGTGGCTCCCACTGGGACAACCTTCTTCTGAACTTGGGTTCGATGGTGACGGAAACGGCTAATGTTACAGAGCCCTTTGTACATGGCAAACACCATTCTAAACGCTCCGTGTGGGTTCACTCAAGAGATAATGGCCCTTTAAGATGATGCTATCGTCACTCCAGGTGACAGATGAGGAACCGAGGCCCATGAAAAAGTTCCTGTCCCCTGCCCAAGGTCGCAGGGGAGGTAACTGGCGGAGCTGGCACTCAAACCCAGTGACCTGTCCCCTCCAGGAGGAGTCTCCAGACTAAGCGGGTCCACCGACGGGAGCGGCCCGCGAAGGTGGTGACCCCAAGGGCGCCGCGACAGCCGGGAAGGAGGGCACACCGGCCCCGGGGAGAAGGCCCAGGTTCAAGCCTCAGAAAGACATTTCCCACGGGGACCTCCGTTCTCTCCCCTGAAAAACAAGAGGGCTGGCCGAGATCCGCGCTGTGCACTATCGTAAACGTTTGCTAAGTGTGGCTATTTAACTCTAAATTAAGCACAATGTAATCGAGGAAAAAATGCAGTTCCTCAATCACGCCAGCTACGTTTTGTGACGAGCAGATGAGGAACGTGGACATCGTCACAGAAAGCCCAACGCACAGCTGCTGCTCGAGTATGAGATGGTGACCCAGAGCCCCCCCCCCGGCCCAGCTGGGCCCCCGGGGCTCCCCACAGCATCCACCCGCCACTGCTGAGCCCCAGACTCACAGATGATGCGGGCAGAGGCGGCCGGCTCTTTGGTGGCCTTCTTGGCGACTCTTCTGCTTGGCCTGCGAACGGTGCTCTCTGGCTTTGCAACCAGGGAGTATTTTTGGGCCAGAGCATCCTGGTTATCCGGGAAGGATGAGGTGAGCAGGCTGCGCAGCACTGGCTGCCGGTCCACACGGGAGCCCGCGGATGTGGAGGAGTTATCCGGCAGGATGGGAGCCAGCACCCGCTGCTGCCATGGGGAGGCTGGAGAGCCAGGTGAGTCCGGGGGGCCTGGGGAGGTCCGTGCAATCCTAAGCTTGGAGGCAGACCGGCCTGAATTGACCCCTTGGCCCTTGGGGTCCTGCGGCGTAGCCATCAGGGAGCTCACAGCGACAGACTCCAGTCTCCCAGCCTCTGACTTCTTGGGTGTTGATTCCCCGTCTGGCATCACAGTGACCTGAGAGGCTGGAGCAGCGGATGCAGCCAGGGTTGGGGACGCAGCCCGGGAAGAACTGAGCTGGTTGAGGCGCTCGTCAGCAGAGTAGCGCTCGCTGGCACCTATCTCCACCATGGGCACCAGCTGGTCCTGGGTGACACTGTCCGTGGGCTTCCTGGTCAGCACTGTGGGAGACTCGGGGGTGGGCGAAGCAGCAGCCATGGTGGCTGCCACAGCTGCAGCTGCAGCGGCGGCCGCAGCACGGGTCACCCGCTGTGGGATGGAGCCATTCTCCCCTGCCATGAGGGCCAGCTGCTCCACCTTGTCCTTGCTGCGCAGGCGCCGGGAGCTCAGCTGGCTGCTCCGAGTCTTTCTGCGGGACAACCTGCCAAAGACAGCAGAGCAGAAGCTGAGAGGGCTCAGCAGGGCAGGGAGGCACCCCAAAATTTGAGCAGGGGTACGAGTCTCCCCAGGAGCCACCAACTCCGGTATAATATAAAGTGCAGGTGCCCTGGCTGGCGTAGCTCAGTGGATTGAGCGCGGGCTGCGAACCAAAGTGTCGCAGGTTCGATTCCCAGTCAGGGCACATCCCTGGGTTGCAGGCCACGGCCCCCAGCAACCGCACATCGATGTTTCTCTCTCTCTCTCTTTGTCTCCCTCCCTTCCCTCTCTAAAAATAAATAAAATCTTTAAAAACAAATAAAAAAATAAAGTGGAGGGCTTGGAGGCAGAAGACCATGGCTCTAGTTCAGGCTCTGCCACCCCCTGCCCTGAGACCCTGGCCGCTCCTCTCTGAGCCTTACTCTTCCCACCTGTACCCTGGGGATAATGCCGGTCCTCACCGCACTGCCGGGAAGAATAAATTCACAGAAACCTGGCGCTGGCTACCCTGGACAGGCTTTGCTCACGTTATCCCTCAACCCACGAGGCAGCCCTGAGAGGCAGGGACCGTCCTCACTTTATTCACTGACTTTTTAAAAGATTTTGTTTATGTTTAGAGAGAGGGGAAGGTGGGGAGAAAAGAGAGGGACAGAAATATCAGTCGGTTGCCTCCCACCCAGGCCCTGACCAGGGACCTGGCCTACAGCGTGAGCTCGTGCCCGAACGGGGAATCAAGCCAGCGACCCTTCATTTTGTGGGACGACGCTCAACCCACTGAGCCACACGGGTCAGGGCCAGGACCATTCTCACTTTGGATTTGAGGAAACTGAGGTGCAGAGAGGTAGAAAATTACCGAAAGGACATAGAGCTACTAAGGGGCAGCGCTGGGGTCTGAGCCGAGGACCTCCCAACCCCAAGACCCCCAGCCCCTCTGCTCGTGGTCTGCAGCCCACAGCCATTTCCATGAGCATCTTAAGGAGCCGAGCACAGGGGCTGAGCAACAGACCCCCAGCCCACAACCCCGGCGGCTCTCACCCAAGCACAGGGTTGGGTTCTCTCTTTTCCCACCTCCGGAAACCCTTCCCACCCTCAAGGCCCAGATCAAACACCCCTGTCCACACACACACACACACACACACACGTGTGCACTTGCTCTGGACTCCATCCACGGTCTTGGGTCACGCTTTGTTTCCCTCGATATTTCGCCCCTCAGCACAGCCCACAGGGCGCCATCACCATGGCTGCAGGCCTCGGCTCCCAGTCCACGCTGGGTCACACTCCCCGGTGGGCGCCAGGCCCCCAGACCCTGCCTGCGGAGCCCCGCGCTCCCACCTTTTCCGGATGGGGTCTCTGTTTTCATCCTGAACGTAAGAAATCCGCTTCTTCTTCCGTCGGTTCTTCTGAGAGGGTGTTTTGGGCATCAGCTCAGGCTCTTTGCTGAATTCTCTGTTCGGTACAAGAAGGGTGATATTTGTGGCTGCGTGGGAACCACCGGCCCCCTCCTCCACCCCGCCTAGCGCCTGCCCATTTCCTGGCCGTCACAGGTCAAGCTGGGGTGAGCAGCATCAAGGGAGCTCTCCAAGGCCATGTGCAAGTCCCCTGCGAGGCGTTCGGGGCTTCCTCCCAGGGTCGGGGCAGGGAGCAAGGTTGCCAGGCAAGCGTGGGCGGCCCCCTCCTCTGAGTCCCAGCCCAACACCTCTCCTTCCTCTTCCCGTCATTCTGGGCTAGGCCCCCAGCAGGCTGGGCGCTCAGGAGAGACCCCGGCAGCCTGTCTGTCCTGCCGGTCCAGTGAGGAAGTGGCCGCTATGTCCCCAAGGCAGCAGGAGCCAGGCAGCCCCTGCCGCCTCCTGCCACATGCCGCTGCCCTCACCTGGTGAACATGCGCATGGCCTCCTCCTTGATCTCCTCCAGCCACACCATGTCCTTATTGTCCACATTGCAGACAAACTCCAAGAGCTTCTGATCACAAAGCTCCAGCAGGTGGATGTGCCCTGGGGCTGTCGTCCCCATGGTGGCTCTCTCTGATGAAACACAAAGGCAAGAGGCACTGGGGCTCAGCGCTGGGGACCGGACCCTCCTCAGGGGGAAGAGCCTGCTAGGCCACAGCCCCCACCCCCCAGTCACCACAAGACACCAAGGGCCTGGATCAGGGCCCCTCCCTGCTCACAACCATTCCCCAGAGACAGAGGACTCCACATGCCAATCCACTAATCTCATTTTTGAAAAAGGAAGGGCTATCCCACTCACATTCTTCAAAGGCCTGGCCTCTACCCCACCCATAGCACGGTGTCCCCACACTTCCAAGGCGATCCTGCGATCGACAGTCCTCCTTACCAAGGTCCTTGCGGGGGGAGGGTTTAAAATGACAGGGCATGGCAACTGCCTTCCTGGGTCAGGGAGAGACCGGGACCAGCACAGGACCCCTTGTCTACCTGCCCAGACACAGCCCTGCTCTTCCTCCCTGTGGGTGAGCAAGGGTTTAGACACAGCCAGCCCGAGCTGCACAGAAGCTGACCCCAGGCCTCAGGCCAAAGAACATCGAACCCAACTGCCTCTTCAAGAAGCCAGTGAACGGAAGAGGTTCTGCATTCCAAAGGAGTCGGTAAGAAAGCAGGGGGCAGGGACTGCTCCTCTCCAAAAGGCCCACGACCCTCTCTCTCCCTGGAGCTGAAATCGTCTTACAAATGGATGAGGAAGCATCAAGGGAGCAGATACGCCATGTCTTATTTTTAAGAAAATTTGTGTAGAAATATCAGACAGGGGGAAATACAAAACCAGTTTTCTATTAAAGACTCCTTAAGACTCGATTATATTGTCACCACCAAAGTCCCAGGCAAGGAGGAAGTGTTCCTTGCAGTCATCCGGAGCAGGGGCTCAGTAAATATTCCCGCTGCGTGAGTGGCAGAAAGAACAAGTGAAGGGTTGAAGGTCATAGGTAACAGACTGCATGTCTCACGCCATGGCAGGGAGCCAGCACCCTAACCTGTACCTTCAAAACCCAAGAACCATGCAAAGCTCAGCCTCCCGCCTAGAAGGGAGGGCTAGGCTAGGTCACCCCTGAACACCCAACAGAGCGTAACACCAAGTCAGGCTGCAGCCTCATGGGATCTGATTTCCAGGGCACACAGCCTTTGTTCCTCAGACAAGCTCTGCCCTCTGTCTGGAACCTTCTGTCTCCTACTTTGTACAGCTCTCTCCTCGCTACTTGGATCTCAGCACCTCAGGGAGGACCTGACCACCAGCCACAGTCCCACCCATCAACTTCAGTTCTCTGCATGGCACTTGGGTGACTTTGTATCTGTTTGCTTACTGCCTGTCTCTGCCCACTAAACACAAGTAGGCAAGCCCTTGTCTGTCTTGCTTATTGCCGAAAGCCCAGAGACAAGCACAGTGTCTGGCATGAAAGAAACACTTATTGAATGAATTAATCCACCTATCAACTCTACACCTTAAAATAAACATCCCACAGGCTTTCTTCCCACCCACCCCACCCTGCACAGGGACACCAAGTAAGTTCATTCTACACAGGTTAGGACACGCCATACTCATCCGGAGCTTCTGCTCCTGAATGCCGAGAGCAGCACTCATCAGGGTAGGGCCAAATGGGCAGGACTGCAGAAGCTCTGCAAGACAGCTCTGCAGCCAGCCAGTCACGGGCATGGCCTCTCCACCGCCATCCCTCTGGCTCTCCCCAGCCCCTCAGCTCCAGAGCTCAGCCCCAGCAAAGTGCAAAATCCCAGTTCCAGGCCAGGGAAGAGAAAATCGCTTAAGGAAGACAAAACCAAAACAAAGGTTTGCAGGAAAGCAACAACTCCCTTTTCTTTTTTCTTAAATATCTGTTCAAAGTGGCAAAGTAGGTGACAGCTCCTTTCACGAAGCGCGAAAAGGTTTGGGGTTCTTCCACAAGGAAGTTTGTTTTTAGCGGACCTGAGCTTTAAAAAGGGTCATCATAAGTTAGAACCAAGGCGACCCCACAAAAGGAGGAATCAGTGCACCAAGTAATGAGGCTCTTGGGAAGAGCAGCAGAAACATCTTCAGCCCGTGTCAAAACCTGTGCACGAATCCAGAGCACCCGACCTCTCTCGGAGAGAGAAGAGGTCATCTTTCCCTCCCAATACTCCGTATACCAGACTAGACGCCCCACTGCCCTCTTCTGCAATGCCTGTTCTTTTGAGGGTGCGGGAAGTTGGGGACCTCACCCTCTACCACACTTCAGTGAAGAAGGATCACAATAGCGGCTCCATTTATGGAAGTCCTACTCCAGGCCCAGGTCAGGCACCATGTCATTGAATTCTGTCCTCAACCTCAAGGATACCCATGTGTGGACGAGGAAACTGAGGCTAAGAGAAGTTAACACAGCCACCCCCGGGGGGCCTGGATTTAAAGTGTGCTCTTAAACGAGCTGTGCCGCCTACACGGTTTCAGCCTCTGAAAGGCAGGCGTCAGGCTTGGGCTCTGGGCACCCCCCAGAGAAGGCCACGGTGGCTGAACAGGACTGAACCGCTGACAGCGAACGTGCCTGGGGTGTGACAAGGGGCGGCACTGGCATCCGGAAATGGTTAGTTTAAAATGTTGCTCAGCTGGAGGGGGAGGGGTTGGGCGAAGGTTATCTATACAAGAAGTCAGCTTGCTCTGCGTCCAAGTCAACAAATGGCCCCGCAGGCACACAACAGGGGTGCTAGGCACCTGGAGGGCACGAGGTTATTTTTTCGGAACCTGGTGACCTAGGTGGAAGGTGGGAGGTTACAGGCCCCAGGACCAAGGAAGGTCACCTCGCCATGTTAAAGAGGTGACCCATCCATTCCCAGGCCGAAAGGGGACAGAGGGTCACGCCCCCGGCCCGAAGTTGGCAGAAGGGGTTACAAATCGCTAACCACCCCACACCCCCGCCGGCCGCCCACGTGCACTCACCCGGTTGCACCGCGTCTACTAAGCGCTGCTCGGATCCAAGTCCGGCCGCCTCCCTAGAAGAGCCCCCCCGCCCGCCCAGACCTTCAGCTCCCGAACTCAGATGCTCACTGCAACTGGGAAGCAATGGGGCCGGGTAGCGCGGGCCAAACCTACGATTTTCAAAACTGAAGGCTCGACCAATCCCCGGCAACTTTGTCTGGGCGGCTGCAAAAGTCTAAGCCAATCAGATAAAAGAAAGTGCCATCCAGGCTACCTATTGGCTACATGGATTAGCAGTCAGCAGTACTAATAGGCGGGGAAAGGAAGCGTTGAAACTTTAACTTGCTCAAGCTTCCGGGACCCGCGATCCGCGGCCTAAAGAGGAAGTCGCCCCTGGGCGGGGCATGCGCGCGCAGGACCTCGCACACCGGAACTACACGCCCCAGGATGCATTGCAAAGGCCCCTCGGGGGCGTGGGAGGTCGAACCGGTCCGGGGATTCTTCTGCTTTGCCGTTTCATCCTCTACCGTTGTCTTCCTTGCAGGATGACGGATTTCCCACCTCTGTCACTTTTGAGAAGTACAAAAAAAGGCTTTCTGAGTCGCGCCAGAGTTTGTGTAAAGTCCTCCGTCACCTCTTGGGCAGCAGCAGCTTGAATTCCACCTATATTGGCCCCGAGTGTTTCTTTGAAGCAGTGGTTCTCGGTCGCGGCGATTTTGTGCCCTCGCCACGCCCACCCCGTTCGTGGCAAGGCACGAATACGTCCTGTTGAGGGGAGGGAGTTGCTACTGACTTTCAGGGGGTGAGGCCAGCCACGCTTCTGAACACCCTTCAGCACGGCTACGGATTACGGGGCTCAAAATGCCAGTGTCGCAGCTGTTGAGAAACTGCTTCAGACAGTAACTTGATGAGTCAGGATTGCTGTAACGTGTCAAAGCAGTTAAATCTGGAAAAGTCATTATTTGCATACCCATGCTCATTGCAGCATTATTTGTGATAGCCAAGAGGTGGAAGCAAATGTCCATCAATAGATGAATGGAGAAAGAAAAGGTCATTTTTAAATCAAACTATTTGGGTTTCATTGTCATCACTGAGGTGTAGGATTTCTTTATGCAAGGTTCCTATGAAAATAATACAATAACTAATAATACGAGAATAAACTCTTGTTTTGAATACTCACAACTGTAAACCTACTTTTGGCCCACCCTGTATATATTTTGGATATTAACCCCTTATCAAATAGGTTTGCAACTATTTTTTCCCATTCTGTAGGTTGCGTTTTTCACTGTTGATTCTTCACTGTGCAGAAGTTTTAAAGTTGGTTGTGTAGTCCTATTTGTTTTTTATTTTGTTACCTGCACTTCTAGTGCCATAGTCAAGAAATCATTACCATGACCTACATCAAGGAGCTTTTCCCCTGTGTTTTCTTTTAGGAGTTTTAGTTTCAGGTTTTATATGTAAGTATTTAATCCATTTTGAGTTAATTTTTGTGGGTGGTGTAAGAAGACGGATATCCAGTTTTCCCAACAGCACTGATTGAAAAGACTGTCCTTTCCCCATTGTATATTGTTGGTACCCGCAACAAAGATTAGTTGTCTGTATATGCATGGGTTTAATTCTAGGCTCTCTATTTTGTTCCACTGGTCTGTATGTCTGTTTTTATGACACTACCATGCTTTTGAATTACTATGGCCTAGTGATATATTTGGAAATCAGGAAGTGTGATGCTTCCAACTTTGTTCTTCTTGGTTAAGATTGCTTTGACTATTTGGGGTATTTTGAGGTTCCATATGAGTTTTACGGTTCTTTTTCTAGTTCTGTAGAGAATGCCATGGGGATTTAGGTAGGGACTACATTGAATCTGCAGATGGCTTAGGGTAGTAAAGACATGTTATCAATATTGTTTTCCAATCCATGAGCACAGGATGTCTTTCCATTTGTTTGTGTCTTCTTTAATTCTCATTATTAATGTTTTTGAATTTTCAGTGTTTAAGTGTTTCACCTCTTTGGTTAAAATACTTATTCCTAAGTATTTTATTCTTTTTGTTGCTATTGCAAATGGTATTGTTTTCTTAATTTCCTTTTCAGATTGTTCATTGCTTTGGTATAGAAATGGAACTGATTTTTTGTATGTTGGTTTTGTATCCTGAAATTTTACTGAATCGGTTTACTAGCTCTAACAGGGATTCTGTTGTTGTTGTTGAATCTCTAGGAATTTCTGCATGTATTATCATGTCATCTGCAGAGATAAAATTACTTGAATGCTTTTTATTGCCTTGTGTTGTCAAATTGCTCTGGATAGGACTTCCATTACTATGTTAAAAAGAAGTGGCAAGAGTGGGCATCCTTGCCTTGTTCCGAATCTTGGATGGAAGGCTTTCAGTTTTTCCGTAGTGATGATGACAGTAGCTGTGGGCTAACATCACAGAGTGCCATAGGAACTCTGCAAATAGACGGCTGGCAGTGTTAGTGCCATCTGTCCATTCACCTAGAGCCAAGAAAGACCACTAAAAATCATTTGACTTGTTTTTTAATCCACTATTGTATTAGTTTCCTGGGGCTGCTGTAACAAATTATGACATCCTTGGTGGCTTAAATAAACAGAAATGAATTCTTTCGTGTTTCTGGAGGCCAGATGCCTGAAATCAAGGTGTCAGCAGGACACCCTGCCACTGGAGGCCCTCAGGGAGGGTCTGTTCATGACCAGCTTCTGGTGGTCGCTGAATCCCTTGGCTTGTGGTCGTATCACGCCAATCTCTACCTCCTCCTTCTCATCATCTTCTCTTGTTTCCGTGTGTCTCTCCTCTGTGCCTCATAAGCCAGCACAATGTCATCTCAAGATCCTTGACTGAGTGATATCTGCAGAGACCCTTTTTCCAAATAAGGGTCCCATTGAGAGGTTCCAGGGGGTAGATGTGGATGGACTGGGCATTTGGGCCTGGCGTAGAACTGCTGATGTTGCTCCCAGTGCCCTCAGCTCTCTGAGCAACTGTTCTCGCTAAAAGGCTAATATTTTTTAAACAAGTTTATTTTCTCCGGACACATTACTTTGCTGCAAGTAATCACGATGCTTGGTGAACAAATGAGGCACTAGGAAACTCACTTGGGTTGCAGGGGAATTTTCATTTTTTATTTTCGTAAAGAAAGTCTGCTGTGATGAGATATAATGTTTTAAATGTTCTGTTTTTTCTAATCACTGTGGATCATCGGGCATACTCCGGTCATATGCTTAGTCTGAAATAGTGCTGAGGTACGCTGCACTCGTTCAGCCCAGCTGCTGTCATTGCATAATAAACAATGCTTTGCCATCTAATTAAAGAACAAACTAATTCACACTTGGTTGTGTCCTAAAAGCACAACATTCTAGCCCTGGCTGGTGTGGCTCAGTGGATCGAGTGCCGGCCTGTGAACTGAAGGGTCACTGGTTCGAGTCCCAGTTAGAGCAGGTGCCTGGGTTGCGGGCCAGGTCCTCAGTACAGGATGTGCGAGAGGCAACCAATCGATGTATCTCTCACACACTGATGTTTCTCTCCCTCTATTGCTCCCTCCCTTACCCTCTCTCTATAAATCAATAAATAAAATCTTTTTTTAAAAAAAGCACAACCTTCTAAATTATCTTTTCTTGTTTTGGCATGATGGGTATACATTGGCAATTTTTTTAAAAATGTGGTACCGTTGTACGTGTGGCACTTGAAGTGATGTTGAGACTCGTGGTGTGCCGAGCGGCAGTGAAAAGTAATACTGAAGTCAGCAGTGACAGTGTGGCTGGGAGTCTGCACATCTTAAGAACTTTATGGTGCCCTTGAGGGTGGTCTCTGTACATCAAAAAGGTGATTCAAGGCCCTGGCTGGTGTAGCTCAGTGGATTGAACGCGGGCTGCGAACCAAAGCATTGCAGGTTCAATTCCCAGTCAGGGCACATGCCTGGGTTGCAGGCCACGGCCCCCAGCAACCGCACATTCCTGTCTCTCTCTCTTTCTCCCTCCCTCTCTCTTTCTCCCTCCCTTCCCTCTCTAAAAATAAATAAATAAAATATTTTTTTTTAAAAAGGTGATTCAGAAGTGACAGTTTTCTTAAAATATGTATGTATTAAAGTTAGACCCTTAAATCTTGATTCTTCCTAAAGTTTTTAAAATTTCATTTCACATGTTCACGATGGGAGGGCTAATTCTGTACTAGTCCCTTCAACACAGCTGGTAGCAGCAGTCCTCTGTCCTGTTTTATTTGGGGGGTGGGGGAGTGCTAGGTGTTAAAATCTCCAAGACTCACTCTTTGTCCTTGTTGCCCTATGATAATAAGGGCTGAGAAATTCTAATACCAACTAAAACCATGTGGACAGAAGGCTGTTCATCAACTTGCAGTGAGGAATAAAATCACTGAACTAAAATCCTGTCATGAATAGGTCTGTGTGGTCTCCTTCATAAGCAGGGCACAGAGCGAATTCATAATAGAACCTCTTTTATTGAGGATTTAGCACGAGGAATCACTGTGTGGAGTAGCAGAATTAGCCTGGGTATAATTAAGTGGGTTCCCTATGCACCACAGGAGGTTTTCCTGTGAATGGAATCAGCATGGAGAGATGGATGGATGGATGGATGGATGGATGGCAGGCATCAAGCTATGATAGACTGATGCATCCAGCTTTTAACAGGAACAGTCTTGCCAGTGGGATCAGAAATACAAGAGGTATGCCGCACTCCCTGCATCCATCGCCACCTAAGAGAGAACCTTTCCTTTGGAACAGGGAATACTTGAGGTTTGCTGGCTCAGACTCATTCTTCCCTGTACAGCCCTTGGATAAGAGGCATTTGCTGCTCTGACTTCCCGTTTGCTTTGCTTGGTGACTTTGCACGTCTCCACTCTAATGCCTTATAAGTGCTCTTGGCATTAAGCTCACAGGTGACAATCCCATTTTTCTCATTTCAAGGTTTGTAAGGAGCGCCTCTCTGCAGCTCCAACCGTTGGAGGTGGTGGAGCACGTTAATCGTCCACAGCGTTCTAAGTCCCTGTTCTGTTACAGAACCTTGTCTGGCTTCTTGGCACCCTGTGGTGCAGCAGTCTTTTCTGCGCCTGGCTGAAGGAGACGTTGAATAAGGAATTCCTGCACAGAATGAGTGTACCTGGACTGCGTTCCTTCC